TGAAAGGATTGGTGCTGGAGTTTTAAGAAGTCCTTAGGGCCTCTTTCCTGTAAGTGATTGGAATGTTTTTTTCCGCAGTAAACAGTAAATCCTGAGATTTGACAATTTAAAAAATTTATTAATAATAACCAGCCGAAATAGGTAATGGAGTATTTATTAACAGCAATGTAACTAAACATCTACAGTTATAGATAGCTCATGATCTCTCGGACAACCTATTCTGTCTTCAGTTTTTTTCTCACGATGAGTTAAAAAATGTTTCCCCATAGTTTCCAGGTATAGGTGGTGTTTTCACCTCAGAAGCTCCACAGAACAATTTTATTCCAAATGCACAAAGACTGTGCTCATGCTCCCTGAACCCTAAGTCTTAGATCTATTTCTAATGTGATGTGATTTTGAGCTCCTTCTCCATGCTGGTCGCTGTGAGGGAAGGAGGCAGATGCACACAAGAGAGCAACGGAAGGGAATGAGAGCTGTTATCTACAGGTGTTTGCCGACGTATACAGAAAAGAGCAACCAAACCCACAGAATCCCGTGTTCTGGATCATAGCTCTTAGAAAGGCAGCCCAGGAGAGGCCTCGTCCTTCCAACAACCATCTCAGAACACGAGTCTCAGCCCACCATGCAAGACGATGTGGACAAGGAATAGAGCCAAGAGATGGCATTTGTGATGGGTCTAAAGGCTTGGTGATGTTCTTGGTCTGACAGTACAGTCATTCATGCATTCATTCATTGAGGCAACAATTGTTTATTGCATGCCAAACACTGGAAGTGAAAGGGGGAACAATTAGGATGGTGTTTTACTCTCATGCAGTCCATGAATACTTGACACACCCCATTTTTGGTCACAGGGATTCTACCTTGATGCCGCACTAGCAGGACACAGAGCATGCCCTTCGTAACAGTACCCCCCAGTGTGTCTGCTGGCTTCTGACGTGTCTTATATTGATGTCCTTCAGGCAATAATCTAGTTCCACACTGCTTTGGGCTTCCCCAACCTGTGCCTCCCATCTTCCTCGCTCTTCTGGGTAATCTTCTTCCCACTGATGACCTCTTCCCAATTCCCTAAACTGCTCAGTTTCTGAAACTTTTACCTTTTTTCTCTTCCAGTCCCCTGGCTGTGCTTAGTCATTACCCAGAACTGGTCCCCCTCTGAAACCTTAAACCCTCCTCACCAAATCTCTGGACAACTTCCCTTACCTCGAACTTTCTAACACTTTCCTTTTCCCCAGCCCTTCCACATTGCAGTTCTCCTTTCCAGCACTTACTTCTGTTTTCACTCTGTTTCAGCCCATTTCTCCCTCTTTGCTAGGCCTTGCCCACCACCCGAGCTGGTCCCTGAACTTGAACCCCTGGCTTTATGAGCCTGTCACACCAACCCTCTGACTGCAGCCTGAGAATCTCTTGCGACTGGGCACACTGACACCACATACAAATGCAAGTTTTTCAACCCAATGCTGAAAAATAGATATTTTACTTGTTTCTCTCCAGGATCCCTTTTCCTCTCAGTGATTGTTTCAGACCTTGACCACTTTTCAGAAGCTCTCAGCTCAATGCAGCCCCCCTGCTCAGGTTAAGCAGCTCATCTCCCATTTCACGCCCCAACACGGTGACTATCAGGTACGGACTTCTACTTCTCTTCCAGTCCTCCTCTGCTCTCTCTGGACTAGTGCAGTGGCCTCTTAATGCAGTGGTCCCCAATCTTTTTGGCACCAGGGACCAGTTTCATGAAAGACAACTTTTCCACAGATGGCAGGAGGGGTGATGGTTTCTGGATGATTCAAGTGCATTGCATTTATTGTGCAGTCAAATCTCTCTGCTAATGATAATCTGTATTTGCAGCCACTCCCCAGCACTAGCATCACCCCCTCATCTCCACCTCAGATCATCGGGCATTAGATTCTCATAAGGAGCACACAACCTACATTGCCCGCATGTGCAGTTTACAGTAGAGTTCATACTCCTGTGAGAATCTAATGTCGCCACTGATCTGACTGGAGGTGGAGCCGAGGCGGTGATGTGAGGCACGGGGAGCCACTGTAAATACAGATGAAGCTTCACTTGCGCAGCTCACCTCCTGCTGTGAGGCCTGGTTCCTAACAGGCCACGGACAGGTACTGTGCCTCCCATTCTACTGGCACCCATTGGACCCCCAGGTACTGGTCTGTGGTCTAGGGGTTGGGGACCACAGTCTTAATGGGTCTTCTTGACCAATTAATGGTCATCCTGCATTCCAGTTCCTCCTCCACCCTGCAGCCAGAGCACATGTGGAAAATGGCTAACATCCTTCAGCAGCTTCTTGTGTCCTGTAGGACAATGTCCTTTCTGACTGAAAAATCTTCCTTTTCTTTTCTTCATCTTCTTGCTTCTGTTAATAAAATACTATATTGGGGGAAAAGCTTTTGTCTTTTTTTCTCTCCTCTTCTTTCACTTGATTTTCCATGTAGGAGAGGGAGAAATATATTTCTGAATCACGTGGCCTGTGCTCTCCAGTGGATGTGCCTGCCCTCGGGCCACATGATGTCTTTTCTCCTCCAGAGGTAAACTCAGTAGTGCGTATCTGGCTCCTGAAGAATGGAGGTGAATACACAGGATCTTAGATCCTCGTTACAATGTAATGTAGCTTCCTCAATGTAAAGCTGATATTTTGAGCCTTTTCTGAATTCTGTGTCTGTTACTGAATCACTTCAGAATCTAGGGAAGGATGTGAGTAATTAGCATTTACAAAAGCATTCATAATAGACCCTCCACTATCTGAATCTTGTTGCCATTTGCATATCATCTAGTGTCTTTACCTTTCAACACCAATAACCCCTGACCCCTGACCACCAAACAGGCTGTAATCCAGTCATTCCAAACTACCTGTAGTTCCTTAAATGGATAATGTTATTTCATTTGTGTGCATATGCAAAGCAAAGCCTTTTTCCATTCTGATTCTCCACTCTACTCGTCCTAAACCACTGCTCAAATATAGTCATTACTGAGAAGTCTTCTCTGATTAGCCCCAAGGACAGTGACCATTTCCCCCATTATGTTCCCAAAGTTTCTTACACTTTCCTCTCTTACAGCAGTTTTCACACGCTATTGCAATTATTAGACCATATCCTCTTGACGTGCCAAACTGTCCCTTATCCATCCATGTTCTGCCTCCACCCATCACACTGCCTGGTAATCATGGGTGCTAAAAGCTTTTGTATTGAATAAGTAAGTGAAGAAACATAAGATTAAAAATGAATGCCTACATATTTGCCTGCTTTACATCCGATAAAGGGCTAATAACTAGAATCTGTATAGAACTCGGGAAAATCAGCAAGAAAAAATCAAACAACCCCATTAAAAAGTTGGCAAAGAAAATGAACAGAAACTTTTCAAAAGAAGATAGACTAATGGCCAAGAAACATATGAAAAAATGTTCAACATCTCTAATTATCAGGGAAATACAAATCAAAACCACAATGAGATATCACTGATCTCCAGTGAGAATGGCTTATATCAAAAAGTCCCTCAGCAATAAATGCTGGCATGGATGTAGAGAGATAGGAACACTCATACACTGCTGGTAGGACTGCAAACTAGCACAACCTCTGTGAAAAGTAGTATGGAGATACCTCAAAGAACTAAAAGAACTACCATTTGATCCAGCAATCCCATTACTGGATATCTATCCAAAGAAAAAAAAGACATTCTGTAAAAAAGACACCTGCACTAGAGTGTTTGTAGCAGCACAATTCACAATTGCAAAGATGTGGAAACAACCCCAGTGCCCATCAATATGTGAGTGGATTAACAAAATGTTGTATATGTATACCATGGAGTACTACTCAGCCATAAAAAATGATTAACTACCTCTTGCATTATCCTGGATGGAGCTGGAGCCCACTCTTTTAAGTGAAGTATCACAAGAATGGAAAAACAAGCACCACATGTACTCACCATCATATTGGTACTAATTGATCAACACTAATGTGCACATGTGGAAGTAACATTCATAGGGTGTTGGGCAGGTGGGAAGAGGGAGGAGGGGATGGGTAAATCCACACCTAACAGATGTGGTGCACGCTGTCTGGGGGATGAGCATGCTTGTCCTGTGGTACAAAGGCAATTTATGTAACCAAAGCATTTATACCCCTGTAATACTCTGAAATAATGATAAAAAAATGAATGCCTACAACGAACTAAGCTTTGTGTTGTGTGATCCGAATATTACAAAGAAGCTAAGTTGTCTCATTGTAAGGGACAAATTACCCTGCTTGAAATAGCAGGGGTTATGTTAGCATATGAAGTTGAATGGTGGATTAATGTAGAGTTGAATAGTTCTTGAAGCATAGCTATACCTAATACAACATGACAGAGGAGCCTGGGAATATCTAGGGTCTTACTGTTTAGTCTCTGTCCATCATACCTTAGAGCTAGGGACAACTTGAGTCCAGTGATCATGATGCCCATCACCACAGGGACCTGCCTCCTCTCAGCTCCCCCAGATGGGCATACATCAGCACAAGCATAGAAGAAGAGCAGATTAGTGTACTGGACTCTCTGCTTAGCACTAAGAAAGCTGGTTTGAAGCCAGTAAAACTAGGCCTATATGCAGAGATTGACACCTTAACCCTGGATTATGGCCTATGAGATGTGCCTTCAAGGGCAATTCTGCTTTTATTCTATGGCCTCTGGCTTTTGTGTCCTTTACCCACTTCCTTCTGAAGTAAAGGCATCGAAATTGGCCTACTTACTCCACAAATCATACTTGGAGGCTGAGCATTGCCTGGTATACTAATGAGGGATGACCATATTTTTGGCACATGCCTTTCCATGTGGGAGCTATCTCCCCTGGTTACATAGTGAAGGGGCTGAAGTAGAGATGGGTGGAGCTGGACTTACAGCAGAACCAAGTTATGACAGCCTCTGTTAGTTTAGTTTTGCTTTTAGCATCTTTCTGACAGTTTTGGCCACCTCCCTTCCTCTGGAGCATGCTGAGTTCAGCAAGTTCAGCTCTGTCAGTTCTGTCCCCTGAATCCATTGGTTTCTGGTCATTTGATAATGCTTTGACGCACACAGGACCTGCCTCTCTCCTCCCTCTTAGAGTACTAAAGCCCAAACTAAATATCGCTGTTTGGGGCCTCCTTTCATTCTTAAATTCCAGCTCATCACCTTCAGCTGCCTGAGTTATGGCTCTGCTATTCTTCTTCATCCTTGGTGAGTATCTCCGCTCCTGTTGGTTTAGGCTTTAGAGTTTTCTGGAACTTTGATTAGGATCCTCTCCCTGCCCCCTGGCACAGATTTGGGATGGTCTTTAAGGATGGCACTTTCAAGGATGGTTTTCTCCCTCCCTTCTATAATCTGGCAACTGTTCTAAACCCTAAAAAGCCACTTAATCCATACCCAATTTATAATCTACTGTGATTATTAGATTTTTTTCCTATTTCCCTATATCTTCACTGACAGATTTATTGCATTTTATTCCATTTCCCTCTTTACATAATTTTCCTTAAGTACTATTTATAAGAGGACAAATGAATGGACCTTGGGTAGCAGCAGGTAGAGCCATGAAAGGAAGTAGAGTTGCAAGACAGTCACCTTTCATTGATCATATTATCTGGTTTCCTCTGAAAGTGTTTCTTTCATTTAATGTTTCCCGAATTTTCCCCAGTTTCTTTTCTTTTTTTTTTTTTTTTTTTTTTGAGACAGAGTCTCACTCTTTTGTCTGGGCTAGAGTTAGTGCCATGGCGTCAGCCTAGCTCACAGCAACCTCACACTCCTGGGCTCAAGCAATCCTTCTGCCTCAGCCTCCTGAGTAGCTGGGACTACAGGCATGCACCACCATGCCCGGCTAATTTTTTCTATATATTTTTAGTTGGCCAATTAATTTATTTTCTATTTTTAGTAGAGATGGGGTTTCGCTCTTGCTCAGGCTGGTTTCGAACTCCTGAGCTCAAACGATCCGCCCACCTCGGCCTCCCAGAGTGCTAGGATTACAGGCGTGAGCCACCGCGCCTGGCCTTCCCCAGTTTCTTATTGCCTAGGTTACTCTAGTGATTTTGGAGCCAAAGAGACCTGAGTTTCTCATCCTGGCTCTTTGATTTCTTAGCCGTCTGAATTTATAGGATACCACACTTCTCTGGAATCTTGCTCTCTCATCTATGAAGTGAAGATAATATTATGTTCCTCAAAGGCTTGTTAGGAGACTTTTCACAAGATAACTAATATAGGGCATCTGACAATGCCTGCTGAATCCCTACCCTAATCAATCACATCCATGTTTATTGTCTTGATGATCTAGTGCATCACCGTAGCCCACGTGGATCTCTCAGTTGGACACTTACGTGTCCATTGTAGGGTATTGGCCGTCTCTTAAACATCTGCATCCCCTGTGGTACCCAATTAGCAAGGACTAATCTTGCCCCTCAAGGATATACTAATGGGTCTTCCAGGCTCACCTACACTCCCCCTCCTTCATGAAGCTTTTCTGGTCTGTGCCACCTGCAACCATCCACCCTGCTGCAGAACCTCCAAGTCACTTACTGGTTATATCACTTCTGTACCTGCGTATCAACCTTGGCATGCTCCTTTTCCTTCACGTGTATACATGTTTTGTGCGTGGGGTTATGCAATGATTCACATATGTGTGACATAACCTTGAATTTTAGACAGTAAGACAAGGCCTCATGGAGCCTGAGAGTAGCCACATTCTGAAGATGAAGGGCATGGGGTTAATGAGAAGTTGTTTGGAAAGCAAATTGATCGTTGCCTGAGGTCGGGCCACCATCACATGTGAAGGGAACAGGCTGGATCAGGCATCTGTGGTAGAATTGGTGTCTGTGGTTCCTAGCCAGTGTCTGTGTCCTTCAAAGCTGGTCATCCCAGGAGAAGAAGGTGCGAACAGGACTGACCTTGGAGTCTCTATCTACTGCTCTGGCTCACAAAGCCTGGCAAGGGAGTTGTGTTCTTTGAACAAAGCCTTGGAAATTGACTTCATGACCTCACCAGCTGCCTTCTTTCTTTCCCAGCCATTTGTACGAGGCCTGGACTCTTAGGTAAGATTTTTTGGGGGTTACTGAGAGGGAGGCCTTCAAGCTCAGGGGAGGGGAGATTTTGAAGCTTCCTGGGCCATAGAGAGAGGCTGTGGTTAAAACAGGCCCAGTAAACTTCATTTCCAGCTTCCCACCCACCCATTCAGTCTTGCAAAGGGTTTAATGTGGTTTATCCCTGCAGGCGACCTCTCCGCACTTGGTTCTATGGCTGCGTGGCCAGCATTCTAGTAGGAAATAGCTACATTTCAGGTCCAGAGGGCACTTCACTGCCTTGTGGGTCTATCTGAGAAATGAACTTTCTTTTCCAGCACATCCAAGTCCCCCTGCCAGGCTTAAAGTCACCTTTGTTTGAATTAGAAATTCATCTGCTTCTATGCAGCACACGGCTTCAACAGTAAAGCACAGGCTGAATTTCAGCCTCCATTGGCTACCTTCTTGAGGAGTCTTTGGGGAACGTACAAATTGTACGCCCAAGGAGAGGGCGGGCCTGCACAGAGAGAACAAGTCTGTGGGAGAGGAAGGCTATGATGGTCCAAACTCAGGAGGGTTGGTTGTGGATTATCAGCTTCTTTGACACTGTCCTTCAGTCTACACTTTCACTTGATGGTAGAGGCTTTCCCAGAGATGGACAGCTACAAATTCTGCTTTTGGTGTGGAGCATCCTACACCCTGATGGATACAGCTTGATTCCTTAAGGAGCGCTGCTTCTGGGCTCTCATCCTGCCACTCAGATTATTTAGTCTTTTTTCTTGGCCTCCAGGGCTGTCTGTTACTGCAGGTAGAGTGCAGGTAGGCAACTGCTTTCTTTACAGCCCCTCATACTCCAGGATGTTAATTCTCTGCCCCTGGGCCCATCCCTCAACCCCTCTGCTGATGTTGTAGGCTAAAGGCATAGGCTAAGCACACTCTGCCTAGGACACAGCTGCTCTACGAGCCCCTCTGCTCTTCTCTCTGCCTTTTAAATCTTTTCTCAGCCCTTATATTTCCTCAAACTGAATTTCTTATATACTTACTATGTGTATCTTTATTGCTTATTTCTTCTTTCCTGAGAGCTGTTCTAGTCTTCTACTTGATAGAAAATGAAAATTTATTAAAAGTGAGAATTTTATAATCCAAAATGAAATAAAACATCCCGTGCTTGATCCTGACAGCTAGCATTTCCTGGAGTACACAATAATGCTGATCCAAACGAATCTTAGATACAATCACCCCACAGTGATTTCTGGGTGATTGCTTTCAAATTATATTTATAACCAGATGTATAAACCTTGAAGTCAGGTGGGCAAAAATGGAAACTTCTCTTAGTTTTTTATGGTTAAAATTTAATTTCTATCTCTAGCCTTCAAGTTCATATTTCTCTCCCAAAAAATTAAAGAAGAAAGGGAGAGAAACAAAAACAAATAAACAAACTAAACATAAACTTCAGATCAAAGTTTTCTCACTCAACCACATCTCCTGGGTTGATTCCAAGTTCCCGGGAGTTTGAGCAAAGTTGAGACAAGGCAGGAAGTGGGAAATCTGGTCCTCAAAGTCCTTTTCCATCCATGCAGGTATCTGGGTCAGACCATGTGGCCCATGTTGGCCTCTATTAGGCTGTTTATATCCCAACAGGCCACAGCCCTCGAGTCCAATATGGCCTCTCCTGGTGCACCAGACCTCTCTTGGCTAACTGCCCTACTCCACAAAGGCATGGCGAATTCAGCCTCTGCTATGTTGCTCTGAGGCTGCAGAAGACTTTGTGGAATGGCCAAGCCCACTTAATATAAGCTACTTGAGGGGAGCAATGCTATCTATCTTGTTCATCACTGTTCTCTGAGCTCATTAAAAAAATACCTGAAACGTAGTATGTGCTCAATGAATGTTTGTTGTCTGATGGGCTCTTCTTTGGTCTCCCTTCATAGCCATCTCCACTATACTTGTATGTCTTGGTGGAAGGGAGAACATTTCTGTTGGTCTTTTCCACCCCCAGAGTTCTATTCAGGGAGCAGAACCAAGTCCTTGATTCCTCAGAACCTATCCGGAGGCTCTATGGACCCTCTCTCCTACTGCTAACCTCTAGAATTCTCTAGACAAACTATTGTGGCTCCGAGACTCTGAAGCTCTGACTTCCTTTGCTTGATGCTCTCTGCATTTTTTCTGAACTGGGTGCTTGCACAAGGGACAATGTCACAGGATGGGTAGGAGTGGGCCACTGACAGTGACAGAGAGTTAGGTTGTTCAGCCCAAATTATATGCAAACACTCTGCCTCAATCTGGCTGCCATGGAGAGAGACAGGGTCGTGAAGAAGAAAAAACACAACAGATATCATCTTTACACCTCTGCTCTGGCCTGGGGCTTCCACTGTTGGACAGCGTGACCATAGGACCACCACTACCATGAGGATCATTTTCCTCATCTGTGAAGTAGTGGAGTGGATGGACTTTAAGATCTCTATAGGTCCTTCTGGTTCTGACCACCAGAGAATCTAAAAATTCTGTTGAATCTTCAACCAACATCTTTCCCTTAATCTTCAAACTGAAAAGGCCAGAAGTCATTTCTAGGTATCTTGGAGTTTCTTGGTAGGGTACAATTAAGGCTATAGCAGAATCAGAACTCAGAGATGGGGTCCCAAGCTCCCCTCCCTAGCTTTCCCATCTGATCCCTCCTTTTTAGTCCCCCAATGCTCCACACCCTCTGTCAAGGGCAGAAGAGGCCCAAATTGGCTGAGTTTGTGCCTGAGCAGCCTCTGGGTTCCTCCCAGGTCTCCAGCTAATATCCCATCTCTTTGCAGAGTCTCCATCAACAGTGCGGCTGGTGGGAGGCTCCCACCGGTGTGAAGGACGGGTGGAGGTGGAACAGGATGGCCAGTGGCACTTGGTGTGTGATGACGACTGGGACAAGAACGACGTGGCTGTGGTGTGCCGGGAACTGGGCTGTGGAGCAGCCAAGGAAGCCCTTGGTGGTATTTTATATAAACCACCGCCAGAAAAATGGCAAAAATTTCTTTTTCAAAATGTCAATTGCAGTGGGATCGAAGATACACTGGCTCACTGTGAAAAAGATGAAGATATTATTGATTGTTCTCTCAACGAGGCTGCTGGGGCGTTGTGTGAGGGTGAGTATTGCAGGACTCAGAGACCATCTGCCAGCTGCCCATACCCCTCAAGGCCACTCCTGTTGGTCTTTATTCCCCACCATAGACTTTCACACGATGGCTAATTGGTCTCTCGTCCCTCACTTCTCACACTTTCTCAATTGTGAATCCTGGAGACAAACAATATCCTCACTTAGCATTGTTACTCCTACTTGGTCGAGCTAATGCTTTTTTCTTAGTTTCGATTTAACCTGTTTCTCTTATTTACACACACACAAACAAACATGCACGGATCAAGAAACCACTAAACAATTGTTGAATAGTTTATCTTGTTTATGGAGCTGGGGGTGGAGTTGTGGGGGAAGAAATGAGCTTGCAAAGTATAATGTTTGTTTTTTGGAAAGTTTCAGTTTTGAAGGCGTCTACCATCCAGTGGGGTAGACAGGAGATACTCACAGCAAACCGACACAATCTCATAGATAGATGATAAATAGGTTGAGAGATAGATACATAGATGGAGAGATCTGTGTTCCTTTACTTCCCTACATATATTTGCTATCCCTCACACAGAGGGAGAAATTATTAGTACTTTCACCTCCACTAGGCTGTGATTTGACTGAGGGGCTAGTCTATGTCTCCTTTTTTTTGTCTACCCATAGAATTTGTTACTGAAGAAACATCACTTTTTGCCCTGATGCTGAAGTCTCATTCCTATTTCTTAGAAAGGTTGAGGGTTGGGAGCACTAATCTGGGATACTTGGCTGATAATGCCAACCCTGAACCAAAGGGTTTTTGGTTGTGGGCACATCTTGTATGTTATTGCATTTTTTTTAAAAAAAATCTACACAATGTTTCTAACTGCCTCTTGTGAGCAGCAAATGAGAAGTTGAAAGTGAAAATAATTTGAAAAATTAAAATGCTACGGAAATGATAATGATTCAACCTGGGCCTGAGAAACTATGTTTCCTGCATTGATTCACTCATTCATTCTTTCAATAAGCATCTGTTAGGCGGTATTAAACACTTTAATACAGATTATACTGAACACCAAGAACTGAGAGATGTGTCCACTGGGCCCCCTTTTCTGAGAAGACTATGTTCTAGCAGAGAATAGTCACTTCCTTTTTCTTTCTCTACAGACGCAGACAGCCCAGTTTTTGAGGAGGTGAGGCTGGCTGACGGCCCTGGGCCCTGCAAGGGGAGAGTGGAGGTGAAGTACCAGGACCAATGGAGCCCTGTATGCAAAACAGGCTGGAACCTCAAGGCCACAAAGGTGGTGTGCCACCAGCTGGGATGTGGGAGGGCCATACTGGCCCAAAAATACTGCAACAAGGCTACACAGGGCCAAGGCCCCATCTGGCCGAGCCAGATATCATGCTCAGGAAAAGAAATAACCCTTCAGAATTGCACTTCTGAGCCTTGGGGGAAGAACAACTGCACCTTTGATGACCACGTGTGGGTTGAATGTGAAGGTAATGCCTGTGCATCCAGAGACTAGGTTTATTCATGGATTTAATTAAATGGAATCCCATTCAAACAATATTTACAAAGAACTACTCATGCACCAAAGGATCATTGCAAACTTATTTAATTGTGCTGATCATCAATTCTGTTGTTTTTAAAACAGGGATTATAATACTTGCCTTTGTATATGAAAATGTTTTAAATAACATTAAGCACTACATTAATATGAACTATTATTGCCTTGAATTCTATATAATAGGATCAGGACACACCAGTTCATGTATCTGTTGAGTTCTTCAGTTTTTAAAAACTATTAGAAAGTCAATTATAAATATCATAAATTTATAAAATGGATGGGGAAGTGAAAAGGCCCTAGTTAGAGGAGCAGACCTGGGCTGCAGGGATTGGAACCTGATGGAGACCTAGAGAAGGAGCTATAATCACAGAAACACACGTGAAGTGTTCCAAGTGTGCTGATGGTGTTTGGTGAGGATGTAAACGATCTTATTTTTTCTCCTTTCCCTTCCTCTCTCCGACCCCCAACTTCCTCCTCCATCCTGCAGATGTCTTTGACTTGAGACTAGTAGGAGGAGACATGCCCTGCTCTGGGAGACTGGAGGTGCTTCACAAGGGTGTATGGGGCTCGGTCTGCGATGATGGCTGGGGAAAAAAGGAGGACGAGGTGGTATGCAAGCAACTGGGCTGTGGGAAGTCCCTCTCTCCATCCTTCAAAGTCAGGAAAAGCTATGGCCCTGGGGTTGGCCGCATCTGGCTGGATGATGTTCGTTGCTCGGGGGAGGAGCAGTCCCTGGAGCAGTGCAAGCATAGATTTTGGGGGTATCACGACTGCACCCATAAGGAAGATGTGGCTGTGATCTGCTCAGGTGAGTCCTAGAGATGGAGTTCATGAGGGCTGGCGTGGAGGGTGACGAAGGAAGAGAGGGCAGTGGGAGTGGACTCTGGGGATAAGGGTAGCTCTCCCAGGGCCATGGAGGAGCTCACAATCATCGCCTGTTTGTGAGTACTTTCAGGGATATGACTGGGGTATTCTAGTAGGTTTATTCATCTTGGGGGTGGAGTTGGGGCTAGGGATAGGGCTGACACCAGGAATACAATAAAAAATCTACAAGTATTGAATGTGAGAACAAGAGGAGTTTTGAAAATTATTTGATCAACATCCTTATATTAAACATGAAGAAAGTGAGAGAGAAAATATGCAACTTTCCCAAATCATAAAAATTGCTTTCAAATCATATAGCAGAATTATAATAACCAGTCTTTACTCTCAACCCAGAATTAGTTCTCTTAGATGACCCCCATCCTTAAACCCCAAGTTTAAATTGTAGAAGATGGGCTCACCTCATTCTATTTGTTGTCACTGCCCAGATTTTAAGTGGGTCTGTGGGAGTAGGGGTTATGGTAGGGGGCTCTTTGGGAATGTCCATGAAAGAGTCTTACCAGAGAAGGCAGGATACCATCCCTGAACCATAGACCTCTTCAGGGGAAGGAAGAAAGAAGCCCTGTCCCAACCTGCACCAGGAAATGCAAGTGCAGTCCCTGGTGGCTGACTCAAGAGAGCCACAGGTCTGAAGCCCAGTTGTGTAATCAGTGTGGGGCTACTTGGTTAAACAACTAACTCTGGAACTAGGTAAGAGCTAAGAGTTGACTGAGGAGTGTGGAAAGCAGTTAGTGCCCAGAAAAGAATGGATTTAACAACGGAAGCTTACGGTTTGAGCCCCGCTGCTGCTACTTCAAAGCTATGTAATCTTAGTCACTTAACTCCTCTGAACCTAAGTGTTTTCATCTGCAAAACAGAGAGACACTTGTCCCATTGGCCTCACAGACTTTTGTGAGTGTGTGAGGATAAGGCATGTTAATAAATGCGAATGCTGTTTGTGACTCACAGGGGAGCTGGTCGAATAAGTCTCTGGATACTGCACCAGATTCTGACCTGCCTTACGTCAGTGTGGGATATGTGTATAGTTCAGCTCTCTTTCCTATTCTGGGCCGCAATCTTCTTCCTTAGCTTATTTGAGTTTGAATGGAATAATCCCTTTTTGGCCCATCTCCATCCTTACTGCATTTTTCTCTTCTCTTTACAGAATAGTATCCGGGCCTTCCTGACGTTGGAGCCCCACTGGCTCCACCTGCCCCTGCCTGTTCTCCTGGGCCCTGATTATCCCAGTGCTCATGGTGGGCCTCAGGCTTTGGCCACCACTCCCTCGTCTCCTCGGGAGTCAGAGCCCAGTGCTTACGCCTTGCTCTGAGGGCCAAGCATCCCCATCACCGCCTCTAGATAAGAGCTGTTGAGTTCCTTCTTGCTTAGGAGGATGAGCTTCCAGTTGCCCTATGCTCACTGCTGACCCCTGGGCATTGGTTCCAGCCTTTCCTGCCTCTCCCTAAGCTACCTGGAATCATCAGGCCTGTCACTTTGACCAGATGTGCAGGCCATTACTAAGGGATGATCTGTGTCTGTAAACAACATGAAAGGACTGAAACAACGAAAGGAACATTTGAAAGGAAACATGGGTAGACAATATTTTGGAACTAGTTTTTTTGAACTCTTTTTTCCCTCAGACTTCAGGTGATCACAATAATAACTAACCTCACTACTCTGCTGTTTCTAGACCATTTTTTTTTCAGGAGCAGAGCATCATTCTATAATCCTAGAACTTTTCATGACAATTAAGAAAAGATGTTTCATCCTCTGATTGCCCTAATAAATTACTTTTCTTGTCCATCCCTATACAACCTGGCAACATGGTTGGCATTTAACAAGAGGAGTTTCACAAATACATTTTACTTTATCCAAGGAAAAATGTATTGGTTACTGGGAAAATGTCAAGAAAGAGGCAGAGAGAGGTTGGAGAAGTCTAAAGTTGCATCTCCTGACAATCAGAAAATACCATTTTCAGTTTATCAAAGGAGACTTTGGAGCCTGCAAGCCTGAGGCAAGACAGGATGATACTAAGAAGAGAGTCAAGATTTAGTTGTAAAAATCGGCAACTATAGACTCTGAGGCTAAGCTGAGTACTTATCAAATGGCTACATTTACACTGTCTAATACATTAAATCTCACAGTCTCAACAGTTGCCTCCCTGTGATATACTCTTTCTTCCCACGGGGAAACAGGTGTGTCAGTTACTCTGCAATGGCCTTTTAGCCAAGATTAGGTACAAAAGAACCTTCCAGCAAACACAACCATATGTGTAAGATGGCTCTCCTCTGGTTGTGGAATTGTCTCCTTGTCTTTTTCCTGTTCCAGTCTGTGAACCCGAAGTCAATTCTGCCACTCTTGCACTTCAGGCTAACATATGTCTAATAATCCAACTCTGATATGCCTTTCTAATCTGACATCTTTTTTGCTTTTCTTCTAACCCGTGTGTTTATATTTCTAACATAGAATCACACTGATCTCTGGTTCCTGACTCTGGTTAATTCTGTGAGAACAGCTCAACAGTTAAGGCAAGACAGCGAGTGTGAGGAAGGGAAAAGTGGAACTGGAGGAGGGTGGGAGGGATATAGCCCACACTCTGCTGGGAGTCAGGGAGCAAAGCTGTGATTCCCTAAGTCACCATCTGTCCTAGAGTACTCATTTTTATAGCATTAGGTTTTTTTTTGTTTTTTTTTTTTTGAGACAGAGTCTCACTCTGTTGCCCGGGCTAGAGTGAGTGCTGTGGCATTAGCCTAGCTCACAGCAACCTCAAACTCCTGGGCTCAAGCGATCCTACTACCTCAGCCTCCCGAGTAGCTGGGACTACAGACATGCACCACCGTGCCTGACTAATTTTTTCTATATATTTTTAGTTGTCCAGATAATTTCTATTTTTTTTTAGTAGAGACGGGGTCTTGCTCTTGCTCAGGCTGGTCTCGAACTCCTGAGCTCAAACAATCCGCCTGCCTCGGCCTCCCAGAGTGCTAGGATTATAGGCGTGAGCCACCACACCCGGCCTATAGCATTAGGTTTTAACAAGGAATGTAAAAACACTGAAGAAAGGATAGAATTTCTGACATTGTTGAAATAATGGAATAATGGAATCCTCTGAAAAATGAGTCCCCAAGGAAGTGCATAGAGCTGATACTATCTGGTGACAAAGACTTGTCCATTCATTAGGTGCAGGGTGTAATTGTAATGTTTACTCTGTGTTATTCCGGTAAGAAATGTGAGAGAGATCACCAAAAGAGGGAGCTGGAATCTTGCATGCTGGCTATGGGATCCCACGGTTGTTAATGACACTAGAGTGTGTTTATGTTTCCTAAACCAAATGTTCCATTGTAGTTTAATTCGTTGAATGAATATTTAAGAGCTACCATGGGAAAATGTGTAGAGAAACTCAGGTTCATAGAGGAGAGGAAAATGCCTTACCATACGTATCTGAGAACCAGAGGAAGCCCCTCCAAAGAAGTACATGGATAAGAATGAAACAGATGAACAGAGAGGAACATACATGAGAGACACAAGGATTCTAGAAAGTATTTTTGGTTTCTGGTTTTTATCTCTTCCTGGGATCCAATGGCATTCCTGGCCTTGGCTTCTGTGACAAACTGCTCTGTGTACTTTATGTACTTTAAAACATTTTTTGATTGGGTTTTCTCATGTTGGGTTTTGTACTTCCAACCAAAAGAACTCCAACGAATTTACTTATTTTAAATTAATAAGGTGACAATTCATTCATCTTTTGCAACGTTGATTAGATTAGTAATGAATAGACTCTCGTTGCATTTATAAAATCAAGTTTATGGATCCGAAAGGATGAGAACGAGGGCCTATAACAGAGGTACTGCAAGATATTTCTCTTAGTGGCCTTGGTTGAATGGATGCCCAATCAACCGGCTTTACAGAGGTGACATTTAAAACTCATGGCCTCCACATTAAAACACAGATCAATTAAAGATCCAATGAAGGTGGATTATAAAAGATAGGCAACTCAGAATGACAGCTATTCATGCTTTCTGCTTCCTCTGTTGGAAAGGCTCTCTTTAACTTTGCTACCTGGTGAACTTTTAATCATTCTCAATGTCTTATTTCTCTTTAAAATATAATTTTTTTTTTGGAGACAGAGTCTCACTCTTTTGCCCGGGCTAGAGTAAGTGCTGTGGCTCAGCCTAGCTCACAGCAACCTCAAATTCCTGGGCTCAAGTAATCCTTCTGCCTCAGCCTCCCGAGTAGCTGGGACTACAGGTATGCGCCACCATGCCCGGCTAATTTTTTCTATATATTTTTAGTTGTCCGATTAATTTCTTTCTATTTTTAGTAGAGACGGGGTTTCGCTCTTGCTCAGGCTGGTCTCGAACTCCTGAGCTCAAACAATCCGCCCGCCCCGGCCTCCCAAAGTGCTAGGATTACAGGCGTGAGCCACCGCGCTGGTGCACTACACTCCAAAAGAACTACTTAAGTTTTCTGACTTCTACAGACCAGTAATCTGGGCAAAATGTGTGGGAATGGATACTAAAGGTGTAGGATAATGGTGGAAGGAACATCAAAAGTTTAGACTCGACTGATTTTATTGATATGGGCTTACTAAGAATATATCCTTTATTTAATGTTGTAGCCGAGGAAGTTAGAAAGGGCTTTAACAGTTTGGTTGGTAGGCTGAAACATGGATAAAAAGGTGGCACACAGAGTGAAGTGGCACACACTGCCTTGGTTTAATGTAGAGAAAAGGATTCAAAGCTTTAGAGAGATTGGAATGTTAGAGTGGTTTTATCATCTAAGATCTACTCATCCACACTGGGAAGGTTCAGAAGACATAACTTTCACCATGACCTAGAGAAATAAATTTGTGAAGGAGCCCTGACATCTTTAAGGAACTCTGTGATCGCTCTTCTTTGTAGGCTGGACCTTGCAGTGGAGATTGCAGTGACTAGTTTGGGAAACCTAAATGCAATAAGAGTAGTTGGATTCCAGGATGACACAGGCAAGTGGTGGTATTTGACTACCAAACATAAGACAGGCATAGCTACCATAGTGGACAGCAAAGTCAAAGTAGTAATCAGAATAGTCTGACTCATGGATACCTATAGTATTGACTAGATGATCATGTATTTCTAGAAGTGAACTAGATAGGAAGCCTACTAAATTCTTACTTGATCTGTATAAGCAAGAACATTTTAGGACAAGTGAACAACAGTTTAACCTGAATCATAAGAACAGAGAGTCACACTCCTCAATCAATCCCCAGACTTAAGCCAACTTATGAACCTCTTGAATGAAGGAGAGGCCAGGTCCCCTTAGTAGGGACCCTAGTATACTACAAAAAATGTATACCATTACTCTTTCTCCCAGCCTTCTCCAAATGGAGGTACCTTTTCCTAGGGTAACTGTACATTGGAGAAAAGGAAATAGTGAAATCTCTTGGGGTCTACTGGATACTGGCTCTGAACTGATTCTGATTCCAGGAACCCAAAACATCACTGTGTTCCACCAGTCAGAGTAGGGGTTTATGGAGTTCAGGTGATCAATGGTATTTTAGCTCATGTCTGCCTCACATTGAGCCCAATGGGTCACTGAACCCATCCTGTGGTTATTTCCCCCCAGTTCCAGAATGCATAGTTGGAATGGATATACTTAGCAGCTGTCAGAAGCCCCACATTGGTTCTCTAACCTATGGGGTAATGGCTTTTATGATGGGAAAGTCCAAGTTGAAGCCAATAGAAGTGCTTCTACCCATGAAAATAGTAATCCAAAAGCAATACTGTATTCTTAGAAGGATCGCAGAGATTAGTGCCACCATTAAGGACACTTGAAGGATGCAGGATTAGTGATTTCTATCACAAGTGCATTCAACTCACCTATTTGGCCTGTGCAGAAGATGGATGGATCTTGGATAATGACAGTGGATTATCATAAGCTTAGCCAGGAGGTGACACTAATGGCAGCTGCTTTACCACATGTGGTTTCATTGCTTGAGCAAATTAACACATACCCTGGTACGTGGTATACACCTACTGATTGGAAAATACTTTTTTCTCCATCCCTGTCGATAAGGCTGACCAGAAGCATTTTGCTTTCAGCTGGCAAAATACTGAGGAGGACTTTATTAATCAAGTGGATACAATGATCCATACTGTGGCTATTAGTCAGCCTGTTTCCCAAGCCACCCCTCTGCCATGAATCAATGGGCTCATGAACAAAGTGACCATGGTGGCAGAAATCGAGATTATGCATGGGCTTAGCAGCATGACTTCCACTCACCAAGAACAACCCGGCTACAGCAAATGCTGAGTGCCCAGTCTGTTAGCAGCAGAGACTAACACTGAATCCCCAGTATGGCACCATTCCTTGGGATAATCAGCCAGCTACTAGGTGGCAGGTTGATTGCACTGGACCACTTCTGTCATGGAAGGGTCAGAATTTTGTTCTTACTGGAATAGATACTTACTCTGGATATGGATTTGCCTTCAATACACAAAATATTTCTGTCAAATCTACCATCCCTGGGCAGAATACCTACCCATCGTCGTGATCTTCCATACAACATTGTTTCTCATCAAGGAACTTCCTTTACAATAAAAGAAGCATGACAATGAGCCCATAGAAACATCAAAAATGTTTGACAACATTCAAAATTCGTTCACGGTAAGAGAACTTAGTAGAGTAGGAATAAAAGGAAACTTCCTTAATTTGATATTTGAGGCATCTATGAAAAACCCACAGCCAATATCACAGCTATGATATTGTCTCATAAGTCTAGAGGCGGCTGCTACTTCTCACTCACTCAGATCCAGTCAGCATAATGTTATCAATGTAATGGATCACCGTGGTGAAAGATGAATTCACTCTGCCTATAATTGGAACAACACAAAGATGTCTGTTCTTAGCCCTTCAATTCAATATTGTACTGGAAGTTTTCGCTAATGCAATCAAGCAAAAAAAATATACAAACTTGAAAAGAATAATTAAAGCTATCTTTATTCACAGATAACATAAAAAATATGGTGAAATCTACAAAAAGGCTACTCAAAGTTAGCAATATTGCAGAATACAAAATCAATATATAAAAATTAACTGATTTGTATATTCCAGCAACAAACAATTAGGAATTTAAATTTACAAAACATTATTATTTACAATGGAATAT